CAGAATAATACCTGACTGCATTTAGTTTCCTATGTTTTCACAGATAACTAAACATATTATTGCATCACAGCCAGGAAGGCACACGTATAAGGACAACAGAGCCATGGTTTATGGTATTAGTGACACTTGTGCTTTTCTGACTCTCAAGAAAATGCATATATAGGATCCTATAAGACTACAGGTGTTACAAATGGGGGGGGGGGGGGGGGGGATGATGACACAGTCTAACAGTCAAATATTTGCTTACATGATAGGTAAGCTACGGACTATGAAGACATTTGACTGAATTTGACTGCACTTAGAAACTGGCAGGAAGTCATAGATACAGATTTAGATATAACGGCTAAAAACGGTTACTCCTTGGCTGATGCTTTCATTTATCTAAAGCAAAGGTTTTTTTAAAACAAAAAAGGAAGTTAAACTGTTGACTGAGGAAATGTAAATTAAGATTAGCTCAAGTAAATTTTTAATTTAGCTGGACACCAAGCTTTGGATCCAAAGCTCCCATGCGTTACTAATCCTACAGGCAAGTTACTTTACTCTTAACTAGTGTCTATCAAAGTAGCAGAGCTGTAGAGCTATCTGATGTATGTGCATGTGCGAGTTTGACAAGAGAGGAAGTTACTAACATTACAGAAGCAACACACACAAGACCGAGCACGAAAACGCCCGAGCGCACAAAATACAGGTAATTAAACAGGAGGATAAATGAATGACACAAAAACAATCAAGAAATCTGCAGCAGCTTCTTGACATTTCATCTTACCGCATTGAGCACTGAAGAGCACAGTAACTTCACAGGGGAAGTGCCTGTGTGCTGCGCGTGTGTTGCCTCGTTGCCATTGGTAACTCTGAAAATGAAACATGGTGGCGTGAAGCGCTGCAGCCGCCTATAAGTTCGCGACCGCAAGAAGCTGAGCGGCAAACTGCTGGCAACAAGCTGCACCACACGCTGCAGGAGGAGGGGTCGGGAAAGTGTGGTCAAGCTCCTGTCATTCCTATTCTATTCTAATCTATTTGTTTGTTTGTTAATTAATAGGAACAATGGGTTTGTTTTTCTGCAGAACACAGATGATTCCCGGGTATATAGCCCTTTAAATATAAATTACTTTTGATGGCAAAGTGATAACATTTTAAAATGTTTAGCAAATAGTGCATGGCATAAATGAAAGAAACACACTGTGGTGGTTTAATACAGTGCATGCACATCAATAAACAAGGCTATTAAAGATCATCTGTAATCTGTAATTAATTACTTTATTAATATTTAATGTGCTTTGCTTTATATGCTACTAGAGCTATTTTCAGGTTGCCAGATTGTTAAAAAAAATCCTCCTCCAGCGTGAACCTTTAGAGGGACCTCAGTAGACTGTTTAATCACTTCTGCTCTGCAAAAGGGCTGCTTATTAACATTTACAAGCTTAAAGCATGAGCATGTATTGGTTTACATGTATTACATTTAATTCATGATACAAACACACACAGAGCTCATTACTTAAACTTAGCAATCAAAGTAAAGAAATTAATTTGTGTTTATGTCTAAATTTTGCGGAACACCACCTTGAAGTTTTCCTAAACGTGGCATGCTTAGAGCAGACACCCACTACAGCCAAGAATCATTGTCACTACAAAGAAATAATCGACCAAACACACATTTGTGCTAAATTTAAATTTATCTTTATTCTCTAGAGACTTGCACGAACCATTGCTTGCCAAAGTTGTTTGTCCCCTAAAGGAAAGCAAGTCTGTACACTATCATACCTTAATATGTTTCAAATCCTATGTGCAAACCAAGTGCTCGAAATAAAACTCATTACAAGTACTCTGGCGCCACCTACTGGAATTTTCTGTGACATGACAGTCGTATAAACGAGCATCAGCTCATTTACCTAGAAACAACACGTTTTAACTAAATGAAATCTTGAAACGAAACCTTAGAAAACAAAACAGAGGAACACAAAAATACAAAGACGTGCTGAGCTCCAGAGAGCTGTGGTTCAGGCTGTGCTGTTGGCCTGAAAGCTCTTAGGGCAGGAATGAAGTGGGAACACAGCAACAATTGAAGGAAATCCCCACAGAGACTCAGAGCTTGATACCCTGCAGACTCTTAAGCGGATGGTTAGGTTTTCATTATCCAGAACCTTGTCAAGACACTTGAAAACTTTCTCAGGCATATGAGGAAAGACTATTTATTCTGACTTGCCTGAAAATCCATGAAAAACTTTCTATATGATACTGAATGATCTGAATAAAATTGTTACATAAGTAATAGATCTCTTAAACATGGCCTGCTTTTTAAATGTAAAAAAAAGTGTCAATAATGGCTCGTTAAAAAGTATTGATCGTAAGGAAATGATGTAAAAGGAAATGAGCTTGTTTCCCTGTGTTATGTCCCACACAGATAAGCAATGCATTTGCTAATTTTAAAGACAGAGAGGGAAGGAAGCATGACAGCAAAGTTTCCGCCACAGCAAACACTGTAGGGGGGGAAAAAGCAAAAAGTCTGTCTTGGAAAAAGCTCAGTGTTTCTCCGTCTGTGTGGAATCTAGAACTGGGCTCATAGTGGAATAATGGCACAAAATAAAACGGATCCCTCTTTGGAAATAGACAAATCATTCAATCTGGGTGAGTGTATCTGCATTTCTTTCCCAAAGCTGTAGCCTACACTGTGTAAAAGTACAAAGTTTTGTATTTTAAAATATAGATGTGATAGTTCTTCACTTGATTCAACACATACAGTCTCACAGTAAAAAACCTGCAATCCAAAATTAGATCACTAGAAAATACTAAAATGCACATTATTTTTGGATCAGTCAAACAAGTACTGAATGGTCTGGGGCCAAAATAGAGTCCTGCTGCTACTTCAGTACTATTCAAGTATCTTGGATGCAATTCTTTACTGCAGACAGAGTCAGAACAGCAAGTATACAGCACTTAAAATACCCCCTTTGAGTTTCTTATATTTTCTTCTATAGTAGAAGAACATGTTTTTATCTGTGATAGGCTTTGTTTGCCATAGCTGTCTTGATGTCTTACATAACATATGAATTGCTTTCTATGCGGCTGTCCAATTTTAGTACGTGATTTTAAAAGTTTCCATTGTTTCTGGACAAGAATGACGATGGAAATGTTGAGTAAATCTTTTATACATTTGACATAAATGAAATGGTCTGTTTGCACTTCATCACACTGACACTACACAGTCTAAAAAACCCACACACCAGGTATGATGTAAGGTTTTATGTAACATTGTAGCCCAGTATAGCGTTTTCCAGAAACAATAAATCAATACACCGGAGGAATATTTCAAAACAAGATCTTAGCTGTTCCTCTCCTGAAACTACCATTTGAATATATAATTTACCCATTATGAGAACAACACAATCCATCCTATCTCCCTCTAAACTAAATATTTCCAGCCATTTTTTTTTTTATCCCTCTGCAGTCCCTTTTCTGAGACTTTGCATGATTTCTCTGTTTCCAGGCGATATGATTCTAGCCTTCTGTTTATCTGTGCTTGTGGGCCTGCTGCTGGGTGCTTTGATCTACGTTCTGCTGACCTGGGCATCCAGGCGCCGGGCTACAGCCAGGATCACCAGGCACTCCAAAAAGAAATCTGGCGCTTCACAAACAAACGATGCCACAAGCAGCCAGCTGGGCCTGTACCGAAGCACTTTTTTGAGCGTCTACAGACAGCCCTCTCTCGAGCCAGTTGGCCCCCTGGGGAGTAAGCCAGGTGCAGAGACATCCACGTTTCGCCCACTGCCCAAGAAGAGCAGGCCTGCCCTAGATATGGGAGATGACACCCAGGTGTCTGAGGATGCAGCGCCTTCAAACTCATCTGATTCAGCATCGCTTGTGTCAAACAAGAGGCATTCCTTCTGGCTGGGCAACAATGGGCTTAAAGGTTTTCTACCCTCGCAGACGCCCCCTCCTGCATATGACACTGTTATCCATGCCTTTGAAGAGACTTGCACCTGAAAAAGTCCACATAAATACAACAAGAACTGAAGCAGTTCGGTGGATAACAATAGACTTTCTGGCTTTACGTTGTTTTTAAAGGGACAGCTGTCTGTGCACGATTCACTTTGACGCAGTGTGAAGGGGTTAGAGACATGAAGTGTTAGCTCAGCTTTTGTTTAAAGACACGAATAAGTGTTGCAGTTTCCATAATTGATACATTTGCACATTATTTTCCCTGTAATTCACTTTTTTCATAAAATATCAGCAAATGACAAAATAATAATGGCCATCCTATTTTGTCTTCTCTAAATGTTACATATCCATTTGTGATGACCTATAAACGGACACAAGAGGCACATTTGCACACCGAGGAAGATTGGGGGAGCTGTTTTCGCTTTAGCTTGGAAGTGGTTCACTGATTAGTTAATTATCAAAAACAGTCAGTGGGTGATTTTCTTTAAACTCGTTAATTGTAACATGACCTCTCATAACCTGTAAACTACCAATTGTGTTTGCTTTCTTTTTGTTGTTGTTGTTTTGGTTTTTTTAAAGGGTCTGAGAGCAGATTCTGCCCCTGATTGTGTGTCCATGAGAGCCAATAAAGAACAAAAATAATTATTTTTAAATGTCTGAATCTGTTGTTATAGAATTCACACGCATGTGAATTTAATGAAATTCGTGTCTCTTGTTTGTGATGCTGATCATGAGGCAGAAAGGTGGGACAGTGGGTTACCAGCGCACGCATAACATCAAGGTGTTGTGTCAAGAATGTCACCTCAACTTACGTCGCAAAGATCGGGTGCGCCTTGTGGGGTTGCCATCATGAAGGATACACGCTTTTGAAGTGCAGTGTTGAATCTAATGTTTATTATATGCTAACAGCCCGTGGACGAGCCTCAATATCATAAGATACCTAAATGTACTGCACACAGCCACCTCCAGCGCTTGTTAAGACGATTATCATGGGTGTTGACGCTTTTATTTTGTACTAACTTGAAAACATTGGTCTATTTTACGTGCTACCTGCCTCATGGCAACCCGCGTTAAAGCCACAACCCCAAAGTGCGCCAGCGGAAAAGTGCCTGGCAACACTACCGCACTGTGCGCCGACTACATCTGGATTAGTACGTGATTACAGCGGTGTCAGGTACGTACAACATATAGGATATATTTTTCTCCCCACAGTCGCTTTTATAAATGAATACATTCATTTACCACCGCAGTTTGTTTTTGTCTCGTAAGCGCTCAATCATTTAGACTACTGCATGCGGTGAGACGCCTTTGAATGGGAAAATCATTTGATGTAATGTGTCATGTAGTGGGAGACCTTTATAAAGGAAAGGATGGGTAATTTATTTCGACTGTAATCGGGTGCTAAAGTCTCAAACCTGAGTTTGAGTCATAAGATGCAATTATATTATTGTTAGCTACACTATGATATGTTTTGGGTCTGCTTCGTGTAAAATATTGGGCATTTTAGTTCTTATGCTTGCCTGGCTGCTGCTGCTGCTGCTGCTGTGGTGGAAAGGAACAGACAGTATCAGTACCCATGGAGACTGCGAGTGCCTTGGTCTCCAATGCAGTGTTGCTGTTGCATAGAGACTGAGAAACACTGTGAATTTCAAGGTTGATGCTCTGAATGACAAGGATACTATTTAAAGCAAAAACCACCTCTCTCTCTCTCTTTCTCTCTCTGATTACCTTACTTGTTGAATAACAAAATTCCGCTTTTTTTCATCTTCACTGCAACAGGATTGCACAACTCTCTGGAGCCACATCAGGAAGACATGGGATGGGCTACTGGCACAGAAGCCTCAAGTCATTTAATGGCAAACTCTGGAGCGTAGAGCTGCTTGATTTGGGTGAATGTAGAGCTGGACACCATTTGGCTGTATGATGCATTTTACTTCCCCGTAGATTTTATTGTAAGTATCAAGAGCAGAGCAGCCACTACCCTCCAGTGCACCATCTGAATGGAAATATGGACACCTTCAATGGAGGAATTTTGACTCAACATGTCCAGGAACTATGAGGTATTTTTTATATTTATGTGCTGCCAGACTAACTTGAATGTCATTTTTCACTTTAATTAGCCATATTATAAAATGCTATTACCTATTATGTAGTGTGCTAGACGATACCACGTAGGATCTAAACCGTTCATAAACAGATCTTGATTTTAAATTGCAGAAGAGACACCCAAAAACTAAAAGCAAACCAGACTAGATTTGTTTCTGTCGTACTTGTAAAATATTGTGTTCAGTGAAATTAGTATTATAGAATAGCATTGACCTAAAAGAGTTAAAATAGCATTTTAAAGGTCCTCCAGGGCTAATGTGGGAAATCTTTACGATATCTATGTGAGTGAGCTCTTTCAGACATTTTCATGTAAATCCAAATGAGTAGGAAGGTTGCAAAATGAATGCGCCCAAAAATGAAATGTGTCTAACCTACGTTGTGGAGACAGGATTTAAAAATACACTGTGGTTTGCATATTTGTGCCCTAAATTGCAATTCACATGTCTAGTCCTCCTCTCATTTTCAGTTTGTGAATATGAAGATAAAACACAGACTGTCGTGATGATGTAATCTAGAGACAAATCCTGGAGCCACTCCACGGACAGTGAATACTAGAATAACAGCTAGAACACTATGAGCAGCAGACATCGTGATTTTACTGGTGTCAGAGCACATTTGGTGATTCACTTGTGTACTTGTGTAAAGTCTGTTCACAAATGAAAATCATTAGGATGGAATTTATCAAAGAACCTGTAAATCATGTAAGTGCCTGGTTTCACTCGCCAGTCTGGTACCTGCACATAAGCTCAGGAAGATGATGCCCACTGATATCCATGAATTCGTTAATTGGGTGTTTTTTCAGGGGTTTTCTCTTAACATGCAAATTTACGCCTCTGGGAGGCAACATTTTAAAGCTGAACCAACTCTCTGCTCATAACTTGATAACATAGGTGACTCATCTTGATGATCTCTGTGTAAAAGGAACATACACAAAGCTGTGTTTTTATTTTTATACAGAAAAGTCTCACCATATTTGTGATTATATCACTAGCCCAGGGGTGGGCAATCTCAGTCCACAAGGGCCGGTGTCCCTGCAGGTTTTAGATGTGTCCTCGAACCAACACAGCTGATTTAAATGGCTAAATTGGCCCCTCAACATGTCCTGAAGTTCCCCAGAGGCCTGGTAACGAACTAATCATGTGATTCAGGTGAGATCTAAAACCTGCAGGGACAGCAGCCCTCGTGGAGTGAGATTGCCCACCCCTGCACTAGCCCCTTGTTTATCTTTCTATATATTGAAAATCCGGTTCTTCTCTCTTTACATTAAAGACTTCTTTCCAAAATCACCCTTAAAGCTGATGTTGAAAGTTCAATCTTTGTAGCTGCTTTGATTAAACTCCACCCTAAAAAGGCCTTTGAATGAACTGCCAAGGTCCAGAAGTGCTCAGAAAAGAAGGAAATTTGTACCGGGCAAACAGCAACTGCCCATTAAGATTGTATGATATGACTGGAAGCATCAGGAAAGCTTGGATCTTGTATTGAGATTGTTCTGTCATCTTGTGTTTCAAAGGTCAATAAGCTTTTAATCTAAACTATTTCATATTTTACATTAGTAACCACAGCCGAGCTTCCTGTTGACCATGACAGTGTTCATACCAGAATGCCCTGAGCTTCACTGAAAAGGCAGTTTTAAGTAAATGCAGAGTCACACACTGACATAAACTGAAAACGTTCATTATCTAGCTTTATTACAATTGAAAGCATGGTGTTATTTGAAACTCTCTTTCTTTGTTTCGCTTGCCAGCCTGGTCAATCAGTAGGGATGTTGGCCGCCGTGGAACATGGTCCCATCCTCTGCAGCGACTCCAACATCCTCTGCCTCTCGTGGAAAGGCCGGGTCCCCAAGAGTGAGAAGGACAAGCCAGTGTGCCGGAGACGGTACTATGAGGAGGGTTGGCTCGCCACAGGGAATGGGAGAGGAGTCGTTGGGGTGACGTTTACATCGAGTCACTGCAGGAGGGATAGAAGTACACCTCAGAGAATCAATTTTAACCTGCGAGGACACAACAGCGAGGTGGGATTTTCTCTTTTGTTGCAATGAGTTGAATGTATAAATAAGAATTTGACCTCTGCTCTTTCATTTTACACAACTAAAACAATGATCTTATTACTGATCCAGCCCACTCGTAAAGGAACTTTTGCAACAGCAGAGTAAAATCAAGAAATTACTGTTTGAATAAATAAATTAAAACAAAACAATCCTGCATATTACAGAACTAAATTGGGTTAAATACACACTATATTTACAGAGACTATGCATTAGCATACTTTGGAAAATGATTCATCTCGCTGAAATGCTAATTTTTATTACATTTAAATAAATTAAAATGCTATATGAACAGAGTGCATTTTCATTATTGTGTGCCATTAATATTTAAACACATTTACTGCTGTTGAAATTATTATTTTTTTCCTCTTTGTAAGTTGATTTTTCTTTAAACTACTTTAGCTTTTATATCGATGAATGTTCCTCTGCTAGTGAAAAAAAGCTGATGGTGTTTGGGGTATTTGCAGGTTGTCTTGGTGCGCTGGAATGAACCCTTCCAGAAGCTGGCAACTTGCGATATGGAAGGAGGCATATTTGTGTGGATTCAGTATGAAGGAAGATGGTCTGTGGAGTTAGTGAATGACAGAGGAGCCCAGGTAGACAGGAATTTTTTTTGCAAATATGAGCTAAAATTGCTTTGTTTTCCATCTTTATGGTATTTAACATGCTTGTACTCCAACTGATGCAACAGAAAGGCTCTATCGTCTTGGCGCTGACCTCTTGTGTAATTACACTAATGATACAAATCTTTAAATTAGGTGAGTGACTTCACTTGGTCCCATGATGGCACTCAAGCCCTCATTGCATACAGAGATGGGTTTGTGTTAGTCGGCTCGGTCAGCGGTCAAAGACACTGGTCCTCTGAGATTAATCTGGAGAGCCAGATCACCTGTGGCATCTGGACCCCTGACGATCAGCAGGTACCTATGTTTGGCTGAATTTGTACTACATAAAAGATAATTACAATTACGTATAATTCAAAAATGTAAAGGTGTTGTGGAATAATGTCATAATCTTGAAGTGAGTGAGTGAAATGGGTTTGTTTGTTTATCTAATCAACTATTAAAGTTTAATGTGCAATGTTCCCTCAGGTGTTGTTTGGAACAGCAGATGGTCAGGTAATTGTGATGGACTGTCACGGAAGGATGCTTGCCCATGTTCTGTTACACGAGTCTGATGGGATTGTGAGCATGTCTTGGAATTGCCCTGATTTCCTAGTCGAGGACAGCACGGAGAGCGACACAGACTCCGATGACAATATTCTGCCTTTAGGTACTAAACCGGTTTGCCCTTCGGCTCATGTAACTTAGTTAAAAGTGTTGCCTGAGGAAGACTCACATGTGTACTTTTCTTTCTTCCTCCAAGTGCGGCGAGTTAAGCCTCTGTTGACTGTCACCTTCTTATCAGGAGATATCAGTTTGATGAATAACTATGATGACCTCTCTCCTAGTATAATTCGCTCAGGGCTTAAAGGTATGAACTCTGAACATAAGTATGTTAATTTGCAACTTTAGTGATATATACTGTTAATCATGTGAAGTAAATACCCTTTTTCTTTACACCAAAGACGTCGAGGCCCAGTGGTGCTCCCAGGGAGACCTCCTGGCTGTGGCTGGCATGGAGAGACATGGGCTCCCTTCTGACTCAGCTTGTGCATCCATCATGAGGAATGCCCTTGTTAAGTTTTATAATGTCCAAGGTGAACACATCTACACTTTGGAGACACCGGCGCAGGTTAGTCCTTCATAAATTAAGGGATAGATGTCTTGCTTAAAAAAATTATAATAATGAACATAAACCTTGTGTCATATTTCATGAAATCCACACAAGTGAGGACCAATTAGTAGAAATTGTCTTTCAATTGTTAAACATTTTCAGACATTCTTGAAGGCAAACTACAACAAAGATTAGGATTGACACTTTGCCAGATACAAGGGTGTAGATTGTTTGTTTTGTAATCTGACCTAAAGGGTGTTAACCTTTGTTCCAGCTCTAAGTCAACAATAGGAAGTAGCATAAAACAGAAACTAGCGAACCTGCTCTGCTATTGACGCCTGCAGGAAGTTTCTTATTCTCAGTGGTTCTTTTTCAGAGGCCCATCACCACCATTTGTTGGGGTCACAGAGATTCCCGTCTGTTCCTCGCATGTGGACCAGCTCTCTATGTGGTCCGTGTGGAGCACAGGGTGGCCAGCCTCCAACTTTTATGCCAGCAAGGCATTGCCAGCGCCCTGCGAGAGGAGAAAGATGTCGGGAAACTAAACATGCCCTCGCTTCTCTGCTCTTATGTCACCACTGCTTTTATCCCCACCATCAAGGTATTAAAGTTTAATGTGCAATCCTGCATCAGGTCTTTTTTGGTACAGCAGATGGTCAGGTGTTAGTGATGCTTTTCACCACTGCTTTTCATATACACCGTTGCGGTGCAATGATCCCTGTTTCATTAGTGTGCAGTGACTGTCAGAGATAGGTTTCTTACCAACTTTATTGCACAGCGAGTAAAGGAAAATTGCTGACAGGGGCATGTTTTCATTTGAGTGTCCAGCAGTCTTACAGCTCCTTCCTTTCTTTGTTCTAGCCCCCAATTCCTGACCCCAACAACATCCGCGACTTTGTCAGCTATCCCACAGCAGGGAACGAAAGGCTCCACTGCACCATGAAGCGAGCTGAGGACAGTCCTGAAGCAGGCGGACCCTGCTACACGCTGTACCTAGAATATTTAGGAGGACTGGTGCCTATTCTCAAAGGAAGGCGCATCAGTAAACTTCGGCCCGAGTTTGTTATTATGGATCCAAAAACTGATGGCAAGGCAGGTGGGTTTAGACCTGAAAGAAAGCACTTCACCTAAATCTTTTAAAAGTCGCTATTCATTTTGTCTTTAGCTGCAGTGAAAACTCTGCACAGTTTGGAATGGTCATGAACCAAAGTAACCACAAAATGCATTAGGGGTGGAACAGAAAATAGACCTGCCCAGGGTCATTCTGTATGCACCTTGTTTTTGTGCATATTTGTGCTGTGCGCTCATCATTCACCTTGAGGAAGAACAAGTACAGAGTGTGGTGATGAGTGTTGTTTTCTGATGCAACATGGTCTGGGGCCTGATACAGGAATAGAGTATATCGTGACCTGGCTGCACTCGTGTTACATTTAATGTTATTCATGCAGAGCTTGCCCACTAATGGCATGTTAGTGGGTGTATTGTAGATATTTTGTTCAAGCTCAACTTTATTTCTTATTTTTCTTTGCTGTGCTTCTTTCAGAGGAAGTTTGCGTCAATCCCATGATCTCATACACCGACAGCTGTAACTGCTCTGACTCCAGTGACATTGAGCTGAGCGATGAGTGGGTCGGGAAGAAGTCACCAAAGTTATCTCGCGGAAACAGGTCACCAAAACACGTCTGAAGTTATATAAATGTTTTTTATTTTTCTGCACATTTTCTCCAGCAATGTTTTTTCATCATTCCAAGTGATTTTATGAGGTGTAAAAATGTGTCTTTGTTTCAAAGGTTGAACATGGAATCAAGAAAATCTCCCAAACTTTCACGTGCCAATCAAGAAGGTCAGCGATCACCACGCCTACCAACAAAGAAGCCTCCCGTTCGGTCACCCAGCCTGACACGGCGTGAGTTTTCTATGGATGGAATTACGGAGGTAATGACCTGCCAAGTATATGTACTGCCAAGTATTACAGCTCATGCTCATTAGCTAGTAATACTGTAGTACCTGCATTATCATCACTGTGTAATTCACAGAAACTTATGTTACAATATGTTTTCTTTGTTACTGGGCTGCCATATTTCTTTAAGATCCTTTAATGATTGGCAAACTCACAGTTACTGCCATAGTGGAAATACTGACTTTGAATTTAAGCTTTAAAAAAAAGAAAAATATTTGTTTATCTAGGGCAGCATAGGCCAGTTATCCCTGTTGCCTTACAGCACAAATCCATCATCTGGCCATGGCCTTTCTGTGTTTGCATGCTCTGGGCTCTTTCCAGGTACTCTGGCTTCCTTCTGAAGTCCAAAGACATGCATTTAGCGGGGTTAGATTAATTGGTGATTCTGGTGAATGTGAGCACAAATGGTTGTGTGTCTCTCTGTGTTAGCCCTGAAACAGATTGGTGACCTGTCCAGGGTGTACCCTCTCGCCCTGTGGCAGCTTGGATAGCCTCCAGCCCCCTGAACTATCAATACATCCATCCATGGGTAGAAGAAAAGCATTTAGTTTAGGCAGCCAACTGCTATGATGAAGTTCAGCACTCAAACGGATGATGGCCACTGTGTAACAAATGATTTGACTGTAGAATATATGCTCACCTGTCAGAGGTAAAGAAAAATACAGACTGTGATTTATTGTTAGGTCCACATTAATCTTGTCTCTACTTCAGCAACATTTAAAGTAAGGTACACAAATTTAAGTTTCTGCTGATGTGCCAAGTGAGCAGATGTGTGCAGCCTTTAAGGACTCTGCTCTGCTGTAGTTAACTCTGTGAAGCTGCAGATAATTAACTGCTTTAGCTTCTATTTAAGTTTTTTAAACCCAGATTACACTCTTTACTTGATTATCTCTTACATGTAGGTGTGCATTTGCTCCATGATCAGGCAGCAGGGCAGGGGAAAATCAGGAGGGAAAACTAGCGAAGGGGCACTGTCATCAGTTTAATTATTTATCATGGACTATAACAGTCAATAGTGTGCTGGAAGTAGGTTCACATGTGCTTAGCAGCAAAGCTTTCACACTTATTATTCACTTTTCCCCCCTTATCTTCAATTTTCTGCCTCACAGCACAATTACCTTGCACAAGTGACATCTAATATTTGGGGGACAAAATTCAAAATTGTGGGACTTGCTTCGTTCCTCCCCACGAATCTTGGCGCAGGTAAAAAACAAAAGCAGCGCATATACATGACTTTACTCAAAAGTTACTTTCTTTTTCCTTCTCGAGTCAACTCTATTTTCTTCTTTTTCAGTCATCTATAAGACCAGTTTGCTTCATTTGCAACCGAGACAGATGACAATCTACCTTCCAGAAGTGCGAAAGATTTCTCATGACTTTATGAGTCTGCCGGTGTTCAACCCCAATGTGTTCAGCGAGGATGAGGATGACTTACCAGGTAAAAAGGAAATCCAAAAAGATGCAAATAAATTAGTTTGCATGCCCATCAGTTTATTATCATCCTAAGTCGCTTATACTCTTCTTCTCTGTCTTCTTATATAGTGATGGGGCCGTCTGGAGTGGCTGGAGACAATCCTCCATGTACAGTCAACATTCCCATTGCTCCCATCCACAGCCCAGCTCAAGCCATGTCCCCAACTCAGAGTATTGGTCTGGTTCAGTCTCTTTTGGCCAATCAGAATATTCAGCTTGATGTTCTGACCAACCCGACCGCCACTGCTGCAGCTGCAGCTGCAGCAGCAGCAGCCTCTGTCCCTGTCACTGATCATGGTCAGGATGCTGTTGCGTCACCATATCCCGTGCCAACTAGATACACCAGCCCTGGTCAGATGATCTTCAACGGGTTGGAGATGGGTCCTCTTCTCCCTGGCACTTTACCTCCCCCACCTCCACCTCACCATCTCCCACCACAGCCTCATTCACAGCGTTCTCATTCACAGCAGCCTCGCCAGCAGCCATCTAAACAGTCACAACAAATACAGACACAGCAGCAGCAGAAAATGCACCATCATCAACAGCAGCAAGGGCAACTGCAGCAACAGCAACACCATCACCCGTCCCAATCACAGCAGCAGCTGCAGCAACAGCAGCAGCTGCAGCAGCTGCAGCAGCAGCAACACCAGCAGCTACAGCAGCTGCACCACCAGCAGGGGCAACAGCAGCAACAGCAACACCATCACCCATCCCAGTCACAGCAGCTGCAGCAGCAGCAGCATCAGCAACTACAGCAGCTGCACCACCAGCAGACGCTACATCAACAACAGCAACATCAGCAACACCAAGTTCAGCAACATCAACAAATGCAACAAGCGCAACAGCAAGTGACGAACCAACAGCTTCAGCAACAGCAGATCCAACAGCAGCAGCAGCAGATGCAGATGCAGCACGAGCAAATGCAGCAGCAGCAGCAGCAGATGCAACAGCAGCAGCAGCAAATCCGTCAACAGATCCAAGAGATGAGGCAGCAGCAGCAGCAGCTCCAGCAGCAGCATCAGCAGATCCAGCAGCAGCATCAACAAATGCAGAGGCAGCATCAACAAATGCAGCAGCAACTGAAGATCCAAATGTCGTTGCCCCCTCCTCCATCTGGCTATCCAACCATTTCCTTGCAACAGATTCATCTTCTTCCCCAGATGCCACCTCCCACCACTGAGCCAGGGCTCGACAGGGGAGACCATGGACACACTCTGAAGCCAAGTCTGCCACGTACATTACCTCCCTCCTTTAACGATACAGATGGGTCTGTAGAGATTCAGATGAGGAAAATAAATCCCCCTCCTCCGTACCCTGGGACTGTAGTGTCTGCAGCAGCAGCTTCAGCTGCTGCTCCTCCTCAAACTCTCATCACAAACTGTGACAGCCCAAGTATCCTGGCACCGGACCCCTGCCTGAAAAAGGATGAATTTTTGCTTCATCCTGTCACCTTACAGTACCCAACACCTCTTGGGTATGAAAGGATCACGACCTTTGACAGCAGTGGCAATGTGGAGGAGGTGTGTCGGCCACGAAGGCGCCTCATTCGCAACCAGAATGCATACGCTGTGCACAGCATTGGGGGCTCAGCTACCCTCAAAGTCACTTCCTCAGAGAATAAAAAAATTCAGCTTCCATACAGTTCAGCAACATTAAGTCGTCTTTCTGTCCCTCGATACACAATACCAAGTGGAGACCCCCCTCCTTACCCTGATCCAGCCAATCAGGTAACAGCTACACTTCCTCCTCCCCAGAGAATTGATAGCAGCCTCATTCATGCCACTCTACGTCGTGAACGAAGGGATGTGGGCCTCAAAGTGCCACAGATGATGGACAGCTCAAGGACACTACCGACTAAAGCTAAAATGAACAGTGCATTAGCCCTTTCCTACCAGCAGAGGGTGCCCACTGCCTTATACACATGCACACAGTGCAGTAGTAACAGCAGCAGCACCAGTGTTAGTGTCAGTGGAGGTGGAACTACCAGTAGTGGTATTGCAGGTGGAACGGTGGTGAGGCAGGACTTCCCATCAGGGAAAGGTGCGCATCACAGTACCATTATAGTGCACTCCAAAAATGCCTCTCCAATGGCATCTCAGTCATCTTACAGTCTACTGGGTGGCGTTGACAACAGTCGGGACAGAACAGTGTATGTTAACTCTGCATTTACTGAGGACGAGACTTTAAATCAGCAGTGTCACCTTGAAAAATCAGTACGTCAGCTGACTCTTGGTGATGTCAGTTTGACAGTAAAACGCCCTCCGCCTTACCAGTGGGACACCTCCGCCACAGAAGATTTCTGGCTCACCCCGGATCAAACAATGTTAGCTCCCCCACCTCATAAACCGCCTCCCCTTATTATCAGTCAAGCTCAGCACCTTGATGTGACTCGGCTTCCCTTTGTCCTCACAACTAAACCTCCAACCAGTCCGAGCACAAGCACTCTTACTTTTCCATCAGGTTACCAGATATCCCTGTCACCCTTTCCTCCAGGGGTGGGTCACAGTGGACCCCCACTTCAGACTTTGCAAAACCCTGCGCAACAGTGTTCTCCAAATGAAGTGGTCGCTCCTGTCCCTTTTGCTCAGCAGGACCCCAATTTGGTCTTGCCACCGGGCTACCCCCCAAATCTGGCCAACTTGGCCTGCTGTCCTCTCCCTCCTCTGTACCCAGGAGCAAGCTCATGTGCCGGACTCCAACTGCACCCGGTCAGCCTCCACCCTTGGAACCCTTACCCCTGCCCACCGCCCATGCAAGATCCTCCCGCGCCTCCACTCCCAACCAAAACTCACCAGATTTTGGAGAAGCCAATACTGTCCCCGCCTCCTCCTACTGCACCACCTCCCCCACCTCCTCTTCCCCCTCCTCCCCCACCTACCGAGTTGCCACCATCCAAAAGTGCCACAGAAGATCTCGCAGAATCTGCCAATAACTTTCCAGAGCCATCATCCTTAAATGAAAGCCCTGTCCCACAAGAGTCAGAGCGCTTCAACAAGAAGAGCCGCAAAAGGCTTGACAGCCGGGCAGAGGAGGCCAACATGCCCACTGTGTCTGAGGGCAAATCCAGAAAGGAAGGGCGTGCGCTGTCTGATTTCAACACTCTCATTGCGAGCCCGAGGCTTGGTAGCAGAGAGAAAAAGAAGCCAAAGGGGCAGAGAGAACAACTTAATAAAACAAAGAAAATGAACAGGACCACGAATGAGTTTCAGGATAGCTCAGAGAGTGAGCCAGAGCTCTTCATTAGCGGTGACGAGCTAATGAACCAGAACCAGAGTAGTAAGAAGAGCTGGAAGAACAAGCGCAGCATGCGTATGGCAAGTGAGCTGGAGGAGATAAAGTGTCGCAAGGCAAATGAAAGGGAGGACCGTAGTTTAGGCAGCCAAGGGTTTGTGTACGTTATGGCCAACAAACAGCCACTGTGGAATGAGGCCACCCAGGTGTACCAGCTTGACTTTGGAGGTCGAGTCACCCAGGAGTCAGCAAAGAATTTTCAGATCGAACTGGATGGTAGACAGGTAATGATAAGCAACATTAGTGAATTTAAAAATGATTTGTCTTTTCATCTCACAGGGGTTTCTATTTTTCTATTTTTGCTTCAGCCCTGAAAGCAAAAACACCAAACACGTGTGACATCATCTTGTACATCTTTGGGCTTTAGCTTTAAAAAAGCAGCTTCACGATGCTTATGTTTTGGTTACTGCTTTCTTTCTGAAATATCTTCTTCTTCTACAATTTTTTAGGTGATGCAGTTTGGGCGGATAGATGGAAATGCTTATATCTTGGATTTCCAGTATCCTTTCTCAGCCGTGCAAGCATTTGCTGTCGCCTTGGCAAATGTGACTCAGAGGCTGAAGTGAAAAGGTCATTTGGTGTTGCTGTGCACTAACTCAACAGAGCTGAGTGGTCTTAGCTTCCAACGTGTGGGGCTACGATGGAGAAAATGTCCTGTTTTACTTAGAAGAGATTAATATATGTACAAGCTAGTCTTGCACATGGAGGCAATTTACAATCAGTGTGTTTAGGGCAAAGTCACTCCAGGTTGGTGTTGATGAAAGAGATTTAAGTGAATCCATAATTTCTAGTTCATATATTAAATGTAGTCATGTAGTCAAAGTATTATAATTATTATGATATGGTATATATTAGATTAAAGAAAACAAACCTAACTAACTTATGTTGCAGTGACTTTTAAAAGCAGTCTGGAGGTTTAGTGCCATCTGTAGTATCAAACACATTATCTCGCTATCGAACTGCAAATTAATAACCTTGTCGTGTTTATAAAGAAATAAGCACAGCAAATATATAAGTCTGAAGTGGCATTCAAAATTTATATACACGTTCACTAAGCCATACCGTGTGTTATATAAAGGCTGCACTATTTTAAATCCGTATTAAGAAATAAGTAGATATATTATACAGTTTTATTATATCACACTTATAGGTATTTAATTACATTTATTTATAATCTCATTTGGAATTTTTTTCAGTTGAATGTCTTCAACATTATGTTCAATTTGCTGAACATGCAATAGAGGGATATATAAATTTGGTAGCTGCAACATGAAAAGTTGAGTACAGTTTGCCATAGTTTATATATTTTCTCTTCATGCTACTTCCATGAAGTGCTGCAATGAACATAGTTAATCGTATTATTTTGGCCTCTGTACATTCAACCCATTCAACACCTGACGGTGTGTTCATTTTTCCACTTGTAAATTGAAACACATTTCGATTGAAGAAACATTATTCTCTATTTCCTTGTTGATTTCAGAATCAACTATTGTGGATACAGTTGTCAGTAATCGTGTACAGTAAGTCTATGGGTGCCATATCCAGCCAAAGGCATTTGGCTGAAAGGATGCCTGCTAGAAAATTAGCAGAAAATGATGTCATGTAGATCTCATGTCACCCAGAATAAATCTACACAGTAACGATTAAGATCTTTTCAATCAAATTCACTTGGTTGGCTCTGTTTTGTTTCCACTGGGTGTTTATGATGCTACTTGAATTCTGCATTTGAATGTGAAGTACAGTAGTTTGCCTATTTTGGAAACCAGTGCTGCTTTAGATAGAGCTTGTGTGCAATAATGCTACCTACACAGAACTTAATGTCGTACCTGCAAAAGAAAATGTAATGCTGCTTGCGCTGTGTATTTAGTGACCTAACATTATTATGTGCTTAGAAAAATATGTGTGTATGTTGCTAATTTGAATAATTTTGTATTTCACCTTTGCTTTAACATTGCACCTTGAGTTGTTTTGGTTTTTTTTATTTTTGTTGATGTTACAGAAAAAAGAATGAGAGCATAAACATGCAGAGCTATTAACTACAACATACTCATAAGTTGCTAGAGATGACCCGTTAGTGGGAGTCAGATTCATGTAGATTTGGTGCTATTGTATAAAGAAAAAAATGTGATCATATCTGGAAATCTGTCACTTGTTTTTAGAAGTTTATTTTAACTGGAAAGTATTTTGCAAAAAGTTACAGAACATTTGGTGCAGATGTTTTCATTTCAGCTTTTTTTATTCAGTGCAGCTTCAGAGATTTTAGCAACAGTGCGTGTCAGTTATTATCAGCAATACTGCCTAATAACCGAATGGTTTGCTGCCTGATTGTTTTTCTCTTATTTTGTGATGAAAAGAAAAATATGACTGTAGGTTTTCTGGGGACCTATAAGCTGGCCAAAATGGAATAAAAATCTATGGTTCCAAAATGTTTTTTGTTGTTTTTATTTTATTTCTTTTTCATATTAGATCTTTTACTAACTAATGCAATGGAAGTGATTGCAAAAGACCCCTCTTCACTTTCCATTAAATGTGAGAGAAATATTAATGCAATTGTAGATATAAAACATTTAAATTTGTTTATTTACTTTTACATTTACATTACATTTCGCAGAGAATCACTAATTAATCTAAAACGCATGTTTTTGGACTGAGGGAAAAACCTGGACTGAGGGAGAAAGACATAGAGCATATGGAAACTCCACACAGAAGGGTTCCCAGCTAGTGGCTTCAAACCCAGGATCTTCTTGCTGAGAGGCCAAGGAGTAACCTCCATGTTGTGCTTTGATAAGCTCCATCAAATTAAGTAAAAAAGGGATCTAGCCTAAAACAAAAACACAACTTACCTTTAAAATACATTATAGTTGTGGTTATAGTCATTGTTGTAGGCAATAGCATTAAGCTAAAGTTTACATTAAAAAAGTACGCATATTTATGCTTTAAAGGGGTCTTTAAAAATGTTAAAAGGTACAAGCAATTTGCTGTCAGATTCATCAGTATTAGCATCAGAGATCAACTGTAGTCGGAGATTTTAGCATAAACCTAAGTGATGCTTAACATAAAGGTTTGTTTGTATATATTTAAACTACATTTATAGATTTTTTTTTTTCATTTTTTGTTAAAACTTTGTTTGGCCATCATAAAAAAACATTCATTGAGTTTCTACCAGAGCCCTCGATTGGTACTTAGTATTACTAGTACTTTAATTGTGCGACGACTATTACAATTCGAGTTTCCAATAAAATAGCAGTTTAATATTTCAAACTGTGGAGGGCAGTAATGGGATGGGACTAAGTTATTACTAAGAAGAAGAAGAAGTCTGGAAGTGCTCCGGGTAGACCATGCACATGACTGTAGTCTCTTGTAGCGGAGGAGGCTGTCAGAGGCACTTACTTCGCAGCTGGTGCTGTCAGGATTTACCCTATGCTTTTTCACTTGTTCTGTCATCGTCTGCATTTCTCAGCCGCTGGATGTTAAAAATGGACCAGAATCCCGATCTTCCGACGACAGGTTTGTGACCTTTGTACGCTGTGTAAAAAAATTAATCAATAAAATAAAACTGTTGGCAGTCACTCAGCTCAATATAGCTGACTTCTCTTGACTTTATTCCCTTACCACTGCGATAATTTTAACCACGAACTTTATGTTCTTTCAACTCAGCGTGGCCTAATCGCATTATTCATGTTTCTCCTCCCGTTTTCTCTTCAGAGATGTCAGATAACAACACAGATAACAACACCACAGCTGAATCAACAGATCCTCCTCAGAGGTTCACAAGGAAAGAGATTCTCACCTTAATATCAATGGCGTCTGTCAACTTTGGCTCTATGATTTGCTACTCAATATTGGGCCCATTTTTTCCCACCGAGGTAAGCTCAAGGAAGCCAGCATCATAGGGTACAAATCACATGTTACAGCACAAGAGGTTAAAGGTTCAAGATATTAAAAGTTTTAAAACTTAGCTTATGAATGCAGCTTTTGACTGGAGAAATAAAACATGTTCTCTCATACATGCAAGTCATATATCTGCAAACAAATCTTTTCTTGCAGTAGGAAACGTATTTGTGCTCCCTTGTAGTTGTACAGTTCACAGATTATGCTATTGTTTACCTTAAGAACTCAGTAATGTCTTCTGAAGGGAATGAATGAGTAGTCATGCGCTACCAACAGACATCCTCCCTGAAGGCCAGTGAAGACTGGCTCTTTTGTAATCATCCGTTCAACTTAAGGTTTGTCAGGAGCTAGAAATGCAAATGTCTGAAAAGAGTGGCACAACAAGCTGGCTAGTTAAAAAGACATTTGTCACCTTAACATCGTAATGCCTACTTTATCATATTTGATACATGTGCGGGGGGACATTTGATACATCATCAGTGTGATTTCTTTTCTTTTCCTCCTCAAAAAATCTAAAATAAATTACACAATACAGTTTTAAGCAATAAATTAAATGCATTAAATAAATAAAAATACCAGATGTAGAAAATGTAATAAAAATTTAAACTCAAATATGTTACGTATTTAATTTGTCAGGAGGTTCAATAAACGCTCGATTGTTAAAAAAAAAAGTTGAACTTCATGTCAGGGTTATTCATATATTTATAGTTTATACGTTATTTTTGAGATTCACTTTTCATTATCCTTGTTGTTTTTGTTGCTGTTATGTAAATCCCCTAATTTTATCTGTTGTCCTGTTTTGATATTTAGGCAGTGAAGAAAGGAGCCAGTCAGACTGTAGTTGGTCTCATATTTGGGTGTTATGCTGTCTCCAATCTAATTGGTTCATTGGTACTGGGAAAATATGTAAGTATAGTGTTTGATTTCATGCCATATGCATGGCAATTTGGAGCACAGGTGTAATCAGAGAGTCTGTAACAGTGCAACTGACCCATTCTTTGTGTATCAGATTGTCCAGATTGGTGCAAAGTTCATGCTTATTGCAGGACTTTTTGTATCATCGTGCTGCACTATTATATTTGGGTAAGTGATCTGTGTTTCGTATTATGATAATATTATGCTAAAAATAATAACTATGATAAAGATGAAGCTGGAAAAAACATTTTCTCGTTATTATTTCTCACAGATGTTTATTAATGTAACAAACAATATTTTTTGTGCTGAATGAACAGAATGAAAACACATTAGCCATAATGTTTAGTACAGAGTTGTGTATTTAGTGTTATCCCCATATACATGTTGGGCTGCTGTAAATATTCATCACTGTAACAAGTTTTTATTAATCCACAGGAGAAAATAGATCCAAACTTGTGTAGGCAAATTTTCTAAAAACTACTGTGCCACGCCGCTTAAGAAGGAGTCCAGGAATTCACCGATAATTAAAGTACACAGTTATAATCCAGTATAGCAGCTCTCAAGCAGGCAGATTGTGGACCCAAATCTAAGACTCAGGAAGCAAGGCATAACAAACTAGGACAAACTGTGACAATATAACAAAGTTCAAGGGGAAAGATAATGACATAAGATAGCAAGGGGAGAAGTAACAGGTGGAAAGAGAGATTTAATCACCAATCACCAACAATAATCATCAAAATAAAACAAGGAAAGAGATACAACTGAATCGGGAGAAAATAAAAACAAATACAGAAATAAGATCAGAGGAACGGAATCAAAAGTGGATTAACTAAATTAACCTAAAGAACTGAAGCTAAGAACCGAGGGCATATAATAACAATATAGGGAACATCAGGAAATAAATAGGACATGTAAAAACAAAGAAATAACAATGTGACTAGAAAGCTAGAATACAGTAAAAATAGCAAGAATACAGAACCCTAATCCAAATATAGCCCAAAATACAAAATGAGAAAAACTGTAAAGTGAAAAACTAAAAACTACGAGTTTAAGACCCAGAGACCATGGCACAATCACCTTTGTTTCAGATCACACACAGTTCCTCTGAGCTTATTTATTTCATCTGCATTTCCTTTCATCTTTCTATTCTGTTTGACACTTGCTGGCGCTTGTTTCCTTTGCAGATTTCTTGATCGGGCTCCTGCAGGACCTATATTCATCAGTCTGTGCTTTATTGTGAGGTCGCTTGACGCTGTCGGCTTTGGAGCTGCTATGACATCTGCTTTCGCCATGACTGCAAAAATATTCCCAAACAATGTGGCAACTGTTCTGGTGAGGGTGGACAAACTTGTCAGACTGGCATGCTGTTTAGACATTAGAATCACGAGAAAACAGAACGACCGTTATAGGTTTAAGTTGTTATGTATCTCCAGAAAACAACTGGCTCTTGGCTATGGTGTAAGAAATTCCCACAGCATAGTAATCTGGGTCACTACTGTTTTAGGGTAGTTTGGAGATTTTCACAGGACTCGGCCTTATCCTGGGACCACCACTGGGAGGGTGGCTCTACCAGTCTTTTGGTTACGAAGTCCCTTTTTTAAGTCTTGGATGCTTGCTGTTGATTATGGTTCCTTTCAACATTTACGTCCTGCCATCCATTGGTATGTAAAACATAAGATTTGGGTGTATTATTTGTCCATTTGAAAATTGCCATTTTGTGTTTTTTCATTTTTCTCACATTATAACTGAGCTGTAATTTTGTGCTTCCCTCCTCTCAGAGGCAGTCCCATCGAAGGATTCATTCTTTCGACTACTCACCCACGTGAAAACAATCCTGGTTTGCTACGTGGTATTCACTCTCAGTGCAGGTCTGGGCTTTTTGGATGCCACTTTGTCACTGTTTGCTATTAATAGGGTAATGATATCCTTTATAATCAAATTAGCTTACGTTTGGTAGAATTTTATGTGGATTGCATGAACAACTTTTTTTCCTATCCATCATCCTTAGTTCGGTCTCTCAAATGGCTACGTGGGACTAATAATGCTTGGTTTATCTTTACCATATTGTCTGGCATCACCGCTGATTGGGTATTTCACAGATAAATATCCTGTATGTATCCAAGCAATCAAAATGATAAAATATAAATGAATATGTTGATTTTGAAATTAAATTTGATCTTGTGCACCAGGCCACTAGGATGGCGGTCTTGGTGACAGGTGGAATCGCTGCTACAATTGGCTTCTGTCTTCTTGGTCCCGCCCCTTTTCTTCACATCCAGAGGTTAGTGTGGGATTCAGGTAAAACTAACACTTCTATATTTAAAAATGATGGACATTTTAAGAAAGATGTGTATCCCATTCTGAGCCAAGAGTCATATCAGAGGAGAGATTGGAGTAGATTTTCCCAATCTCATTTTTACAGTAATGTAAACAGTCGCACCTGCCAGGAAACAGTCCCACTCTGAATAAAAATGTGATCTTACCATTTGAAGGTGTTTTAAACCTGCACTCTTTGTAATGGCCAGCAATAATATGTGGTTAAATATCCTCAACCAGACACTTTTGGTTGCCATCAACATGCTTCTGGGATCATTTTAGTTGCATTCTTGACCAGTTTATAGCGTTGAACTGGTTGGTTTCCTGGTATGGATCTGGCTTTCAGTTGTAGTCAACAAATGTTCAATAGGGTTGAGCTTAGGGCTTTAAAAAAGCTTAATGTTAGCTTCTTTATCTATTCCAAAACCAGTTTAGCATCATTGTCCTGCTGGAACACACAATTGTGTCCAAGTTTCAACGATACAGCTGTTGATTTGAATTAATGAATGAATTTGGAGGCACACTTATTAAAATAGCATATGTACATAATTGGCTCTGTGTAAATGAGGAAAAAACCTAAATAAATCCAAACGTGTGCACCCAATTTATATTTTTTCAAAGTCATAAATATATATCTATACTATATATATCTATAGATATAAATATCTATACTGTACCATCATTCTGCCCTGGAAAAAGATAGTTAAAAGCCCTAAATTGCCATGACATTCATGCCCTTCAGTGTGGTTAAACGTCAAATCCCAATGTAAATCTTTACTTTGCAGTCATATGTTCATAAGACTTCATAGTATCTTACACCATTTCTTCTTTTTTTCTTCTGCTTTTGGCTGCTTCTTTTAGGGTTCACCACAGCAAATCGTCTGCTTCCATTTCAGCCTATCCGTAACATCTTCCTCTGTCACACCAGTCCTCCTGCAGTACACCCATGAACCTCTTCAGTGGTTTTCTTCCTTTCCTCCTGCCTGGCAGCTTTATTTTTAACATCCTTTGTCCAGTTTATCCACTATTCCTTTCACTATTTCTGTCACAAATCACCCCTGAAACTCATCTCCACCCACTCCCTCCTGACTGCATTCTTTTCTTCGCCTCTCTTGTGCACTGTGTTCCTTTCGATGATTAAGCCCAGATATTTAAACTTTATACCACTACTAGGGAGGTATTCAGTGGGACATATTGACAGCTTATACACTATTTCATCTCTTTGCCTTAAAAAGTCTAACTTCTGTATCTTTTTCTGTATTTCTGTTTTGATTTAGTCACCTGTGGTTGCTGGTCGTCATGCTTGGTCTAATTGGGTTTTCTCTGGGTATGAGTGCAATCCCCACGTTCCCTGAGATCATCACATGTGCATAGTGAGTTGCTTCACATAATGCTCAACATTCATGAGCTGTATATTGTTTTGGGGTTTTTCTTCTTTTCTTAAATACGGATGGATGAAACAAATGTTCTGCAAATTTTGTTTTTCCTCATAGTGAAATAGGATTTGAAGAGGGGCTAAGTACACTTGGAATGGTGTCTGGGTTATTTGGTGCAGTGTGGTGCACTGGGTGAGTCCTTAATATATTTGTTTCCCGGCATTTTTCTTTTTAGCGCCTTGATGTTGGTTCTAATTTTGTGCTCGTTTTTAAGGATGTTTTATGGCCCCATTGTGGGAGGAATTATTGTTCAACATCTCAGCTTTGAATGGGCTGCTACAGTTCAAGGAGCGTTGGCATTTTTGGGTGTAAGTATCAGTGACTGCAGCGTTTAGATATTTTATGTCAATACAATGTTAATGATCACTCTGTCCTCAGGCATTTCTCATCTTCATGTACTCTGTCTGTCAACGGACAAAACGAGAAAGGTAGGCCTAAACTTTAAGTTAACATAATAATATTTGTCATTTCAACCACATAGAAAACTTTTTTTAACCTTTGTGCTGTCTGCAGCAACAAAAACGTGGTAACTCTTTTTTTAACGTTTAAATTTAAGGGTCCAAGAAAACAGCCAACAAGCAGATGAAAGAACCCCTCTCCTATGATCCTGTGCTCCAGCTCCAAGTTAAACATCTTATCAGCCATTTTTTGTTATCAGGCTGATATTGTATTAATGTTGTGAGTCCTTTGGTTATTTATATGTGGTTCTAGGGCATGCGTTGTAGTAGGAACTACCAAACAGGTATTTTAAGTACTTTTGCAGGTATTTATAACTCTATAGCCTGCTTCTTATCAATGCAGTAACACTGTGTAATGTAAAATGGAGTGGGTCCAAAAATAATTTGGGGAGCAACACGGATATTAAAAATGAAACCAGAAGTTCACTACACGAACCCAGCTTGATTGTGATCTAAGTTAGAGCCCTGTGCAGGTAGGAATCCACAGACACAGACTCCTGCCAAAGTATTTAAAACTGCCTGATAATAGTTTCTTCAACATTGCCACGATGACTCACACACAATGACACCAGCCACTTGGTTAGTAAGAGTGAGTTTTATAAACAGTGGTTTAATTGTAAAGCGGTGCAAGTGTACTGATTTAAGGTGGTGCATCTGAATGTAAGTGTTTCATATGGGTGTGTGAGTATGACTTTATTTACTATACTAAAACAGTGCAATTTACCTAATAATCACAAACTATTGCCGACCACAATTGTGCCTTTTGTAGAGATATTCATAGGATTTCTACATCAACATAATATCAACCAATATCAACATCTGATTACCTCATTCATAGAAATGTGAAGAAAACCATGTGATATAAGGATATCTTTGCTCATAATGAACCTTTCATACTGTACTAATTCTTCAAACAGGGAATTTATTGCAGATTTCACTGCAGTTAGAAATGTTGAATGTTTTGCCTTCTTTTCTGCCTGCATTATAGATTTATTTAACACTGATATTGAGATTTTTTTTCACTCACTGACAATTTAAGGGACTGCAAAGACTGATTATGAATAAAAAATGGAAATAAAACTATAAATTAATTGTTTTTGTTTTTGTTTTTGTTGTAGAGAAATGAATATATATATAAATTCTAGCTCTCTTACAGGGTAATCAAGTAGAATTACAATATGACATAAGTTTTCTTACATGGATAAGTTATTTAAAAAAAACAAAATTACAAAAAATATGCTCATCAACTTTACATAATTACAATAATTTTGTTTTTCCCAATTCAGCTTTTTAACTTTTCAGTACTAAAAATATATCACAGTAATAATAATAATATCACAGCAGCACCACGGTGAATGGTCAATTCATCAGAGACATAAAGAGAAACAACCTATGAATGGAACAGAAAGGTAGGACAGTTGAATTAGTGTGAAATAAGGCTGCGGCTGAGCTTTAAATTACACTGGATGCTTACTACTTGCTGAACAGGGGCAGAATCTGTTTCCACGTGGATCCCTGAAGAGTCAAGAAGAGTCTGACAAGGAAAAAAGGACATTATTTAATTCTAGTAGCAGCAATTTTAGAGGGCAGACACCACTGCAATCCTTGCGTATCTTAGCAACATTAAAATTAATTGGAAACATTACAAAATCTTGCCGTCTGTAGCCTAAAAAACGAAGCACCTTTTAGAAGATAACCGACAGGACTGAACCCACCTAAAAGTATAAGAAAAAACATCAAGAATTGACACTGCAGTAATATTTTATTACAATTGCCAGGAGTCCATCTGTGTTTCTGTTCATAGCATACATGCTGCACAGTGCTGAAAGGACTTGGCCCATTTTGTACGTGGCGCAGTTAAAATCTTCATAACTTTTTGCATTCATTAAACGACTCGGCTTTTCGCCCATTTCCCAATATGCTTGATTAATGCGAAATAAAGCGTATTCTGCCTTTCTGTTGTACAGTACATTCAACTTATATTTAACTTTAACAATTTTATTCAACGTAACTCTGTTTTTTGTATGGGAATGTATTGCCTCAAGTGCCTTTAATTTGGCTTCTAACGTAATGATATTCTTGTTAGCTGCCTTCTTTTTAAAGGAAGCGTAAGAAATTGTCCTCCCCCTTAAGTATGCCTTCATAGCATCCCACCAAGTAGCCAATGTAGTGTCCTCTCGATTATTTGTCTGTTTGCAAAATTGTATTTCATCTCTTATCAATTTAATAAACCCAGAGTCTTTAATTAAGGACACATTTAAATGCCATCTGCGGCTTTGAGGAATCTGTAAAATATTTCCAAGATATAGAAAAATTGGTATATGGTCCGAGAATACTATATAACCAATACTTGAATCTATAGAGTTATTCACTAAGGCTTCAGAAATAAGAAAGTAGTCGATTCTAGTATAAAC